ACTGCGAAGTTTTAAGGCGAAGGAGTACAAATGATTGAAAGTTTTTAACACGATATCAAAAATTCAAAACATATTTCAAGCGCGCGCTTCAAGGTTTTATCTATTGAGCGTATTCCAACTTAAATCGAAGCGCTTCGTTTCGCTTTTAATCTATTTTATTGACGGAATTTTTGCTACAACATTGCGTGCTGTTCTCTTCATATAAATCCATTAAATTCCATATAAACAGAGAAGTGAACGAGTAATTGAGTCAAGAGTGCCATAAATATATTTTCCATGGATTTATCATAAAATCAGATCAAATTCATACCCAACCCCCCGTCGTCAAATGTGTGCTATGCATATGGAATTACTATAACTCTTACTGTATGTGTGTGTATGTATAGACAAAGTATACGGCCATATTTCTCTTTCGATTGCAAATATTTTCTACTCAAAGTAGAATACTAACAACGAGAAGAACATTTGAGGGCAAATAGAGAGATAGAGAGAGAGAGAGAGAACATAAAGTGTGTAATAATGTATTTAATCATCGTTGGTGAACGGAAATAAATAAAACGGAATTGGAGAAAAGGAAGAAAGCTAATGTAAATAAATAGACAGCAGGGCATTCGTGCCATTAACCATTGTGCGGGTAAAATGGAGTCTGTGCAACAACATCGATGTAAACAAATATAAAGAAAATGAAAGAAAAATATGCACATTCATCTAATGCGTCAAGCGCCGTCGAGCGTAATGCATAGGCAATTACGTTAATTGAGAGAAAATAATTAATAAAATGAGGTTTATTTTTGATGTACCCTACATTTTCCACAAGTTAAGATCTCCAACTTCAAAGTGATTTTTTTGTTCACAAGGAGCTTGAGTAACGATTTTTTTACTCTTTTCCCCTTTTCGGACTAATTTTTCATCATGCAATTATATTTTCTCAATAAGCTAAACACATTTTTTTTGTTAAATTAGATAATTTGTGAATGAACACGTGTTTCAACGTTTATTTGGTGTTATTATGATTAGACACAAATGATTTTGATTTGTTCAAGCGAACCGATAGTTTTAATTCGATTGTTTTTTTTAGCAACGTTGGAATAAGGGGGGTTTACAATGATGTGCGTCATCATAGTTTTTGTGTGCATATCGTTTCGTCTGTATTTTACTCACCGGCATCGAACTCGGTTTATCCAAGACAATAAGGTCGTTGTCAATATGGATTATTTTGATTGGATGATCTAAAACGGGCGTCTCATGTCTGATTGTATTCAGTTTGTTTTAGGTTTGTTTGTACAGATTTTTATTTTCGGTTTCGTTTATTTGTGGTTTCGAATTTGGTATGCATTCAAGTTCATTCCGTATGTGTGGTTTCGATGTCACAGTTCAATAAACACATACCAAAAAAATAAATAAACAAAGATACAAAAGGAATATGTATGAGTCCCGAACAAACATGAAGACAGAAATGATACATCTAATCGACACACACACATTTCTATATTTATTTTAGCGAAATATTTTTGATCGTCCTTTTTGTAAAGAATTGACGACTCTTTTAAATTATCTTTCTATTATAAAATTGAAAATTCATTTGAAAAAATTAGACAATTTTGGGGTAAATCAGGAGGAAAAATGTTTGGAAAGCATTATAAATTAGTAACATTAATAGAATCCTTCATGCAAAGAAATCCGAATACTTTTGAAAATATTAATAATGCATTAAGTGAAAATTGCTATATTTCGAGCAATGTCTTTCACTTGAGCAAAGTCGATTAATAGCCACCCGTAGGCAATTGTTCGTGCAGAAATAAGTTGAAAATTTCATTCGGTCTCACTATGAAAATCATTCAAGAAATGGTGAGTCTTTTAATGCGATGTAAAAAATCAAATATCGTAATAATTTGGGTCGAGTGGAGTCATCATAGAAAATGGGCTTAAATCATCGAATAAGGAGAAATCTGAAGTAAATTTCAACGAATGATGACTCATTTGAAGCGATACTATTTATAAATTGTCGTGTTTTAATAAAAAGAGCTTCAATGTTGTTTATTTAATTGTTCGCATAAAGTAAATAGTGAGTATTTTATCGTCATTAAAATAGCAATTTATTTATTATGAAGATGAAATTGACCGTATCGCAAATAAGTAAAAAAAAATCTTGAAATAAATCTAAAACTTCGGTGATGAAGAATGCTTTTCGAATAGTACTCGACGAGTACACACAATTAGAGTGGCGAGAAAGTCAACATGATTCAACTTGAAAGTAACCCGATTCATGTGTACACATCAAATATTTATTTTATCTCATTCTTGTGCGCATCATAGATGCTGAACACAGAAAGTCAGACAACGTGTTCGTGCTTTTTTGTGTGTCTCTTGTTTTGTTCACACTAAAAAGTACACCAAGGGTATTTTCGATAACGATGACAACTTCTAAATACTGGTCTTCTCGAAATGTATTTAACGTCGTCGCGTCGCTGATGTTACACAATTCGAGTCCCATAATATTTCGACGGCCCACTTTTCATTCATGAGATGACACACAGTTGTTGTGATGGCGTACATTTTATGATTGCCTACGGAATACGCTTATTATAATAAATTTGCTTGAATACACTCTTGAAACGGCATCATAATGTTTATGTTTTTGAGCGTGAGCAAAATCTTGTTATTGTTTAGGACCTTTGCTGTCTGATTCATTGTGTACAAGAGCCAGAAGCGATACACAACAGATACTTGCACCGACACACACACACACACAAAATACATTGAACAAGCACAAAACATAGCAAAACAAATGGACTGGCAACCGATTTTCAAAAGCAATAAATTTGCTACTTCAATTGATGGTGCCAGCGCATTGTGCGTGTGTTCATTACAGGAAAACAAATGGTCGTTCCGGTTCGCGTTGAGAGACTATGTATCATAGCTGCAAACGGATTAAACAAGCAAATGATAGCTCGTTCGTTTTCAAATCCTTTATCCACCAAGTGTGTAAGAGAGATAGAAGGGAGCAAGGGCCGGGCCATTTCTGTTTTTTTTTTTTTAGTTTCGATTTGATTAGCGTGTTGATGCCAAGAAATTTTCGACTTAATTTTAATATTTATTTTCGTAATTCTCATTTCCGCACACATTTTTCAAATTGTATACGGATATTTTTCGTATAGAATATTGTGAATGCAAGCAAGTGAAAAATATTTCATGCGCTTGCTATGAACAATTTTTCATTTCTCACTTCTATATCGCTGAGTTATCACTTCATAATACATCCTATTAAATAAGGTTGTGAATTGAAAATGCGCGTTAACAATAGCGCTTGGAAAATGGAATTTAATTTATTGCATGCAATAACATCGCATTTTGAATAGTGTCGGAATGTTTGTTGAAAATTCAACCATGTTTGTACCGTATACAAAATCTCAGATAAGTAGATCTGTAATTAATTCGAATAATTCAGTATATTTAGTGCGATAAATTAAATAAGCTCATTTTCAATGGGTGTCACAATGGCAACCGATGTTTATGTTACGGCTACGATGGCGACATTTAGAAATGAGAGAGATATTCACGAGAAATTCAAACAACTTATTGTATATGGAATGTGAATAAAACGGCGAAACTATGAAAACATTCAACCTTCTCCAAAACTGTATTCATACACATGTTTCGTCTAGAACTTTGACGTATTCCGTGTATTGTTTGGATATTATAATTGAATTGCATTTCGTGTGTGTTCACGGAAAATTAATATTTTGGTCGGATTGATGAAAGTTTATGTTCGTTTATTTATTGCATGATTAAGTGAAAATAATTAAGGTTTACTTTATTATTATTAACTTTAAAATAATTCCTTTCAATCACAATGTAAATGGGTAACGATTGAAATAAATTTGGGCCATTCAATGACAAAGCAGCAATAAATACTTTTATTCAATTTTATCTTTTGGGCCAATACATTTAATAGAGAGAATGCCACGATATATCATTATTTACATTTAACTTTCGTATTTTAAACGCTTCACTCTTTACTCTTGAACACTTAACGCAAATTCAATTGCTGGCCGTTAAATTGGAATAATTAGCTGTGTCATTTTTTGTCGCGCATACGCCCAATTTTTGACCATAAATTATGGCCCGGAAAAAATATGAAAAAATAAATGAAATTTCCATACGATGGTTACTACTGTGAGTTGATTAACGCCACAAATATGAAAAATTCAATTGAATTGAACTCTCACATTAATTTTAAATCAACGAATTGAATCAAATAATAATCATTTCTCGTGATTCAATTGAAAAATGATTTTTTTTTACAAATAAAAAGCATCATTGGAACTTTATGATTTGATCAAAAGCAAAATTGAATGAATGAAATGCTTTTGCTATTAATTTTAAGTAAAATTGTTGTGCTATTACAGAAAAAGCTCCGTCCAATCAATGGGAAAATGAGAAATTTTGATTTTGATAAAATTATTTCACACGAAATCATACGAAATTGACCGGTAAAAATTGACGAATCAATTTGGAGATTTTTCTGTAATTTCATCATTCGAGTGCTGAATAACTTTGCACAAAATGTGTGCTTCAATTATGAACAGTGGTACAGTGTGCATCATTTTGTGAAGTATAGAACTACATTTTTTAGGAACGTTTTTGTGATATAAGTCTGTTTTGTAGGAATTTTTTTGTCGTTTGCTACGGGTTGTAAAGGTAATTTGGAAGCATGAAAAATGCCATTTAAACAAAAATGAATATTTCATCGATTCAATTTCCATGTCGAGTTCAGTAAAATCATTGCATTTTTGATTGTGTTATAATTTTGTTTGTGCAAATTAAATCGATGAAATTTTCATGTTCCATCGAAAAGTGTATCAACAGAATATTAACTGACACAGTTCAAATTTTACAATTATAATATAAAAAAAGTAATGTTTATATTAAAAAAATGAAAAATAATCAAATTAATAAAAGAAATACTCAATAAAATGGCAGTCGTTTAAGCCACTTACTGGAATTGATGCCGGTTTATTAACAACCACAATGTCATCGTCCATGTGCACGATTGTGATTGGTTGACTAGTGACTGGTACTTCATGTCTGGAAAAAATACGAACACACACTTGTTTGGTCAAACAATTTCTTTTTTCGAAAGTTTTGGTTTTAAAATTGTTGATGGGGAAAATATTCTGTATTTAAAAAAAACAATGATAATTTAAAAAAATTCACATCACAAAATAGATGGTAAGTTATAACACAAAAATAATCCAAGTGGAGTTATAAAGCGTAAAATGTTAGTACTAGTAAATGGATTTCAGCTACGTTATGCATTCAAAATAGATTTAAAGCTATATAATGTCTCAAATTCAATTAAATGCTAATCTCTAAATTATTATAGATATTTTATATAATTTATTAACAATCGATATATGTAAAATTCTACATTGTAGATACTTCATTGTTTCATCATGTGAAGATTATAAAATTACACACACATCGACATGAGAGCGTGCAGCTGATTTTTTCAAATTTATCATTCATCCAGCAGCGACGGCGGCACCAACAACAATGCCGATGAAATTATTACGTTCTGAACGGTATATGTATTAAGCCATAAAATATTTATGCTGTGTCGAAAGGATTTGCTTGATTTTTAATTTATGGCATTCAATTCGATGAATCGCTTATTATCCTCTGAGCACTTGGAATTCAGTTGCAATTCCCATTGAATGTCATCGTTTATTCGGTGCTTTATTCATTTCTGCGTATAATATAATAATGACGCCAATGATAATGATCGATTTCAACATCTGTTACTTTACCATCATTCTTCGAAGGAATTCATTGAATTCATCAAATTGTTTTTATTCTTTGGTAACTTTTTCAACGAAGGAAATCGTATTAAAGTTTCATGATCATTATTTGCGTTCATTTTGATTTTTTTTGCATTTAAGAAGAGTAACGAAATGAACGATTAGAAAGCACGCTAGCAGACGAACCAAGTAATAAATAGTTGAAGAGAGCATTAAATAAATTTCATGCGTGCTTTCAAACCAAAGCCATGCAATTAACACACGAAAGCATCGTCAATTTTCTTGACGACAATGAACTAACTTTATTCTGTTATTTGATAATAACAACTTTGGAATTGTATAAAGCTTAAAAAGCTGGGAGAAATGAGAGAGAGAGATGGGGGAGTGTGTTGAAAATCGACAATAGCACACATAAGTTGACTGTACCCACAACGTTTTGACAATTCTACACAACATTTCGTTTGGTTGGTTATGAATTTAATAAAATTGTGCGTATTCTTCGTATTTTATTGGGTATTTCGTTGGATGAACTGGTGTGATAACAGCTATATATTCACAGCAATCATCATAAATTCTATGTTTGCAAGAGCAAACTCCCGCCAAAGCAAACACACTTATGCATTTGGAATGAAAAATTTAGTCAATCCATTTGGGAACTGTATAATCTTTTTTCGATTCGATATGCATTCGGTCAACAAACGACTTAAAGTTTCTCTCATACACCGCATAAACCAAATGGTTAAATTTACGATGCTTTTTTACATTGCGGTCGATTGAAACCAGATGAAAATATGAAAAGACTTATCTTAAACTCCAAAACTATCCACCAAATGTTGTGGGGTTTATTTAACGATTCAATCAAAATCCATGAGCAAAATAATCGTTTAACTTTAAACCGACGAGATAATAAACGGTTAAAAATTTATGCATTAATCGAATCGAAAATCTTAATTCATTTTCTGTATGAAAGGCAGAAGACATACGTTGAATTGCAACTTGGATACATATTGAATTACTTGAATAGCTGTTAATCGGCCAACGGCTTCACTTTTGATCCATACACGCAGCACTTCAGAAAACAAACTTAAACTTTGTAAGAAAACTTTTCATTTGGAAAATAGATTTCGAAACGATTTACCTAGTTTTATTTAAGTCGTAAAAAGAAACCGAAAAAAGAATCGCACTATCGAATCAAATTCTCGGCACCGAATTTTCCAAACTCTTTTATAACGGTAGTTTTAGTTTTATCGACGTTTTACAACATTGATTCCGTTTTCTAGTTGCCATCGCAAAGTAAATAAGATTTTTCATTCGAACATTTTCCAGTGCACACTCTGCGATTTGTTTATTTCCATTTAAAACGTTAAGTTCATATATTTATAATATTATGACAGATACCATGAACGGAATACGCTTCGGGATCTTCAAAGTAACAAAAACTCATAATTTTTTTTTTCTTCAATAACAAAACATGAACGGGCGATATACTCTCATATTCATACACGTAGATACAACGACGCTTCCATTTAGCTTGGGTGGTTTGGTATCCGTGACTTTGCGGCGCTGAAAGTCGACAGAATTTACACACATGATATATGGCAGCTGAAGTTGATTGGAATTTATTGCTTAGCTGCCGATGATGATGATAATGATGATGATAGTTTCGCTGGCAACTTGACTGCACGAAATCATTTATTTTCCGATTCGCGGATGTGATGAAAGACACACACACTCGCGCATACATTTTCTCTCTCGACTTTTCCATTTTCAACTCCATCAAGAAATTTCAATGTGACATGAATTTTAATATTTACATTCATCGACTGTAAAAATGTGCTTTTTGATAGTAAAATATTGTGAAATGAAAATCAAAATTTCAATTGAATTTTAGAGCATCAACTAATTAAAAAATCTAAGATGCAACCATATTTTTTATGCAACAACATTGTTGCCATATCCTAATATTCACGTCAAAGATATTGAAGAGTTTGAGAAATATTACTTTTGCGCAGCACTAAGTTTCCAACGATGTAAAACTGTATTTTGGCAGATATGAATCATTTCTCTCTATATTAAATTTGCAGGGAAATTTCATGTGAATGAAAACGGTCCGCTTTCAATTTTATTTCAATTGAAGTACTTGAAAATGAAATCAGGTCAAAGCTCAAGAGATGCTTGCAAATTCAATGGCAAATGTTGGCAAAACGACAAAAATACATTGAAGGTACATTCATTCATTATAACTGAATTCTAAACAGAAGAAAACATATTACAGAAAAAAAGAAGAACACTCGATGAAAACTTGCAATTATTATGTTCGTTTGTGGCAGAAAAAAAAACATCTCACTTGAGACATTTTTGCACAAAGAAAGCAAAAATAACCACCTTTGTCCACATTTCTCTTCCCATGGATTCACTTTGTGTGCGTTTTTTTGTGTGTTTAAGCTTTATTGCTACAAATTTTCCATTCGTTTCTGCTATTTTTCATTTTATTATTCGACCACGTCGATTTTTTTCTGTTGTTGCTTATTCTTTCTGCATCTGGCAAAAATTTCTTTTGTCCATCGAGTTGTGCTCTACATCTGTGATGTAGTGGTTGCCAAGTCAGATAAAGACAGAACGAAACTTGTTGATCGGTATAAATGTGTGGCAAGAGTGTATCAAAATCACCATCAATTCTCGAATTTTGTACCTTTTTACATGTTTTGCATAATTTTCTTCTACTGTATCCGTATCCGCACGCGCATGGCATATGCTTGCTTTTTTATCTCTCTCGTTCTTTCGCTCTCTAGATCTCTCTGTCTATTGGTGATAGGAAATTCGTTCGACTTGTTCAATCTATCGTGGATGGTGTGATTGGAATCGATGTTTGCTTTCGATTTGCATTGCCATCAGCGTTTCAATACCCGCTTTCAACATGCAAGTAGTATTTCATCATTTGAGCTCACCTAAGCGTGTGCTACCCAGTATCGAAGTGAAGCGGAAAAAATCAGTGCTTGTGTAAATCCATCGTTAAATAAAAATATGCTCCCGTGGAAATTATTTCCGATCCAGAGAGAGGTGCGGAAGAAAGAACGGTGGAGAAAAATCAGAGCGACAAAATAGGCGAAAAAAAAATCAAGGTAAAATGGAACAAGAATAGAAAGTCGGAATAGAGAGAAAAAAAAGTGTGCTGAACCAAAAAAAACACTACATGTACCTTCAATGTACCCTTGTTTCCGGTTCGATGTGCACAAGTTCAAAAACTATAAATCAAAACCTCAACATTTCCCTTTGTACTTTAAGAACATGGCCGCACATTGTAGTGGTGCGTTCGGGTTCTCTCTTTTTTTTTTTTTTGATAAACCAAATCAACACACTGAAAAATAGAGAAAAGAAATTTCATTTGTTGAAGCGAAAAACCACAATGTGTTGGTTGATTTCGTTGTTGGCCGGCACTTGTATTGCTTGTACCTGTGTGTTGTCTTTGGATATTTGGCTTTGTTAACAATAATGAGTTATCGTTTGTGTCAATCCAGCTTTGCAGTTGTTTATTTTTGCCGTTTTCTTTGATAAAAACGAGCATAACGATTAGAAAACCTTAATCCCCTTTTGCTGCATTTTCAATATCCGTTTTGTGTAACCGGTGCAAGCAGATTACTGTGTGTGTGTGTGAACATGAACGATGCAGAAACAAAATAAAAAGAAGCACGTTCACTAATATAGTAAAAAAAAGCTATATCATCCACACAGCTAAAGCATCCTTTGGCTGCGTTTGGCTGACAGCATCTCGATTGAAATTCAAAGAAAAAAAGTGAAACGATTGAATGATTTCACTTTAAAATGTCTTCACTTCAAAAATGTAGCAAATTCATTTATAATGCACCCACGTAATCTTGAAACGACATTTTTAATCAAAATTATCTACTGAAATAAATTTCCGCACTGACACAAACAGACAGACACACAAAGTCGTATGATGACATTGCTTGCTGAAACGAAATGATGGACACTTTTTGTTGATTGATTTCAATGAGTCTTGTTACGGTCACATGTTTTCCGAATGAAATTAAGGTTGAGCATTTGGCAAAAGACAGATCACAGTTTCTCACATATCCGTACAATCCAAGTTAGTATTCTTCTTCTTTGTCAATTCGCACTCATATTAGAGTCTCTATCACAGACTGAAATCCGATTTACTTGTTGGCAGAGCTGATACATTTTCATTTCCCAAATGGCTGTGACATAAACACTGTTAGACACACACACACACACATATATACAGCATGTAAATATATTTCCCCGTGG